GCATCACTGCCGCAACAAGCCTGCTTTCGCAGGACCACACCAGAACTAACTCCTGATCTTGCCCCACTGGACTGCAGAATTAAATACAAACAAAACTGGATGTTAAGTCAGGCCTTTGAAAGAGCAACAGTCAAATGGATGGATGAATCTCAGCCAATCTTTTAGCCCCATTTTGGGCAACAGACTCTGGAGAATTCTCTAGGGGAGCTGCAAAGGTACAGAGTTAAGTCTCAACCCCTGCCCTCCACAGAGCAAGGAGATGGCAGAGGAAAGTGCCTTTCATTTGATACCCAGACAATAAAAAGAGGTTGTCACCCTTCCCAGGAATCAGCTTTGCTGATGCACAAAGCCAGGAGCATCCTCTGCACTCACCTGCTCTCAGCTAACCTGCCTTCCCACCTCTGATTAGAGGGAGCGCTGCCCTTGCACACATTTTCCCTTGAAGGGCTCACCACGGGTGTTTGGTACTCTTGGTTGCTGGCTGGAATTGGTTCCCTGAGCCCACCAGAACAGCACACCAAAACTCTGCCCAAGGGTTGTTCGGTCCTAGAGCCAGCTGGCACCGTGGCATCTGATCCTGTGGGAATCAGCATATTAAAAGGGGCTTAAAAAAACTCAGCTCGAGGAGCTCCTGTTAAACTTGGCACCATGACACCTAGTCCTTGGTCTATACTCCAGGGTTCTTCAGGAAGGAGAAGGGGGTTCCTGGGCGCTTGAGGGGGGTGTCTTGTTGCAAGATCTCACTCATCTTTTACATTATCTTTGGTGGGGGTGCTGGCCCCCAGGGGCTGCTGATTCTTTCTATACTTGTAACGCCTTGTTATTTTACACCATGTGGCATGTTGAGGCTAATGCTGCTCCCCCAGCTTCAATGTAACTGATTAATTTCCACCAAACAGGCTTGTGATTGGACCCAAGTACCTATGAAGAAGTCAGAGGCCTCTGCATCAGGGCAAGAGGAGCTCCTCGACAGCTTGTATTGGGAAAGTCTGTGATTTAGGACACTCAGGGTGTCCCCACAACTCACTGCCCAGCCCATCTGGGCCTATGAGGATTGCTGTGTAATAAAAATACCCAGGAGCAAAACGCAAGCCAGCAGTCCTGGCACAACCAGCCTGCATGGATCTTGGATGGGAAGTCTGCCTGGATTTTTTAAAGCCTTACTGGTGTTGGTACACAGAGATGAGCCTTGTTCGGTGGTCACAGCCCCAACTGTCAGCTCCTGTCACCCAGGCGAAGGCACACGCAGCCCAGCCTCGGATGCCCGGGCCTTCCCATGCACCAGGGCTGCGTGCAAATCTAGGTGGGGTCGTGTTGCCATTATAATACCATTAACATTTTCTATTCCCATTGGTGCAATTAAGGATGAATCCTTATGTTTCCTTTTTGCATACAAAAAAGTTAGGTCAGCACAGAGGCATTGCTCAAGCACAACACAGCCTAGCTGGGCAGAAAGGAAGGTTACAGCAGCTAAGAGAAATTGCGAAAGAGGGAGGCAGCAACGCAGAGGGGAGAGGTGCATTTACATACTTTGTGAATTACCACAGTCTGCGATGGAGTCCCTACCCTATAACATCTTTAATCTAGACTAGGCAGCTTCCTATGTTAAACTCCCAAGAAACCACCCCAGATTTTTAGCTTAATAGCAGTTTTCTCCACCTTGCCCTACTTGGGTGAGCAATAACTCTGAATTCAGGACAGAGTAGCATTTGCTGGATTTCAAGGCTCAGCCTGCAGCTGTCTGGAGCTACAGCAGGACCTGAGCAAGCTGCACCCAAGGTTGGGCCCATGAGCCCCTAAGTTTTGCCATGGTCGCAGCAGTGTGGATGCTCTCTGGTGCACTGGGGACCAGGAGCACTGCAGAGGGGGCTCCCCAAGACAGCTCTCACTGGAGCATCTCTCTTTGCCCCTTAAACAGAAGCAGTTACCTGGTGCTGCAGCCGATCCTGGGACCCGCCAGCCTCGGCTCCAGCTGGGGGATGCTCCCTCCACTGGGCGGACAGGCTCTCCGCAGTGGTGGAGCTGCCTGCACAAGCCCAGCTCTGGCTGTGAACATCAGCCCATATGAGCTGCCCAGAGCACGTGGGTGCAGCTGGGGCAGTTCCCCATGTGCGACGACAGTCGCTCACTTCAGCTGATTTTGCCCACTTCTGTCCATCTTCCAGGGGCTGTGCCAGACCAAAGCACTCCTGCCCTGCCCAGAGGCAGGCCCTGGCTTCCAGAGGGTGAGCTGGGAGGATAAATTTTACTCTCATTTTCCCATAATATCAAAATTCCCCTCATTTCCCATAGAAATCAGGTACACGTGGGACTATTTTTATCCTGGTTTATTTTTACTTAGTCTTTCCTGCATTGCCCCTCACATGGCTGTAAAGAGAGCACACCCACCCCACAGGCATGCGAGAGACTGATGGCAGCGGCTGGGAGGGCGCTTTCTCCCTTTACAGCATGGCAGGGCTGGGGGCAAACACGCTGCCGGTAATTACAGCGCAGTATCATTAAATCAATCACTGCTTGCAGCCTTGCTCCTCGGCCCATGGGCCAGCTTGCTCCAGGGCAGCGAGGTTGTTCCTAGCCCACACCGCCACCCATACCAGCCCCATTGCTGGAGAGATACCTCCAGCCAAACACGATCCCATCCAGACACACTGCCCCAGGGGACCCGATCCGTGCTGTCCCTCTCTTACATCACAGAGCAGTTTGGCCCTGGAAGGCAGCAGGGTGCTGGAGCAAGCTGAAGGCCCCCGGAGCTGTGTTCAGAGCTGAAGCCTGGTCACAGCCATCGAGGTGGAAAGAACCAGGGTGCTGCATTGGCGCCTCTGGGACAGGGGCTCCTCTGCCTGTCTCTGCCTTCAAGCAAAGCCTGGCAGGCAGGCGGCTGGAGAAGATGATCAGGATGATCAGGAGCTGCTTTGGCCAAGGATGCAAACGCCTCTGGCCAGGGTAAACGCTGTGAGTGCTTGCCCAGCGGATGTTACGGGCCAGTGGATTTTTTTGGTTTGGATGAGCAATGTGCGAAGGTCTGTGTTTCACTCCTTGGGGGAATTAAAACATAGCCCAAGCCTTGGTGTTTTTTTCACAAAGGGGAATCACGGCTTCCCACTAGCATGACTAACCTTGCTAATTGTGGCCTTTGCGGTCGAGCAGAAGCTGGGTAGAAAGGCAGCCGTGCTGCGAGGCTGCTCTGGAAGCGGTGCTGGGGCTGTGGCCGAGGCTTTGGCTCTTTGCAAGCGCGGCAGCATGGATGCAAAGCAAGACAGGAGGGGAGGCAGAGGAGGCCAGACTCTGCCCAAGTGACTGTCATTTCCCAGAGCTGCCTCTCGCCCTGCCATCGCCTCCCAGAGCATCTTTCCAAGGCTCCTGCTGGTTTCCCCGGAGGAAGTCGCAGCCTCTCCATCCCACCTGCGCTCTGCAGCCCAGATAACAGCGTGCCATGCTGCCCGCAGTGCCATGCTGCCTGCAGTGCCAGCCTGCAGCATTTGCTGGCAGGTCCCCCCGTTACCATGGCAACACTGTCAAGGTTCAGATAACATTTTTCTCCATCCCGATTTCTGCCGCCGCTTTATTTTTCTCCCACTCAGTACTTTGCCAGCCTCGCCGGCGCAGCCTGCCTTGAGAGGCAGCCGGGAAAGGGTTAGGACGCTGCTCTGCCATCAGGGCTGCGGTCACATTGCATGAAGTCCTTGCTCAGGAATAACAGCATTAGATCTTCTGTCACAACAGAGGTAAAGCTGAAATCAGCAAGCAGATACTAATAAATCCTCCACTGTCTCTTCTCGTTAGACTTAATCACAGGGAAAAACCCAAAAGGCCTGAAACTTTTTTTTTTTTTTTTTCAGAAAAGCTCACTGTGCAGAGGGGACAGCCATGGGTACAGCTCCTTGTCAGTGCTGGTCTTGCTATGGGCACTGCTGCCATGCTCAGGCCCACTGACAGCTCCTCTGCCTGCCCGTCTGCTCTGCTCAGTCCCCATCCACAGCCCTTCCCTCCAGAGGGGCACAGGGCAGGTGACATCAGCCTGCATCGCACTTGCAGGGACAGCCCTTCCCTGGGGGTCACTGGCTTGTCCAGCACAAGCCACCTGGGTGAGCAGGAAGCCCCACAAGAACGTCTCCCTGGTGCCACGGTCCCTTTTCACCCAGGTGGTATTTCCTGGAGGCTTCTCCATCCACTTCTGTCCCTCTTCTCCATAGCAACATCTAGACATTAAATATAGATGCATCCCCAAACCACCTTTGCAAAAATGCCACCTCTCCCTACCACAGACAGGCATTTTCAGGAAATACCATGTTTCCCCCTTACCCATCTCCAAACGAAGAAGATGGGAAAGCAGCTAATTAGGAATGGTCTCGCATCGTCTGCATCCCAAGCTGTTAGCTAGCTGATGAGCTGCTAAATTGTTTTTTCTCCTTTCTGAAAGAGATTAACTTATGGCTTCAGATGCAGAGGGACAATGCCTGCTCCCCAGGACAGCTGGGCGGTGCCAGAGACCCCACTACCAGAGGCTGCTCATGCCCAGGGAGGGAGGCAGGTCTGGGGGCAGCCGGGACCCCCAGCAGCAAGGGGCTGCTGGCAGTGGGTGCAAGCAGCAGTACCCATCTCACCGCCCTTGGAGGACAGACAAGGTGGCTTCCTCAGCAGGTGCATGGGAATGGATGCTGCAGCAAACTTCAGCACGGAGTATGCTGCTCAAACACCCTCCTGGGGATCGGTTATCAGTTAATGATTGTGGAGAGGAGAAAAGGAAAGACACCCCACAAGTAGAGGAGGACAGCTGGGACAGTCAAGAAGGGATGAGGAGAGCCCGACACCCATCTCTCAATGCCAGGCAGAAAAGAAAATATGAGGCCAGAAAATTAAGAGCCACAGAGGCACATTGCAGCTGCTGCGCTGGCAGGATGCTAACAGAGCTTAGCTTAGCACTGTACAAAAGAGAGGGTGCAGCATTAACCCTCCACAGCCACAGCCCCACCGTGTCCTGAGACTTTCATAGAAAACCACTGTGACTCTTCACTCACCTTCTCTGCTCAAGCCTGGGCATTTCTGAGAAAGCACCATACACGGCCACGCTCTGTCACCTGCTTTGCAACTCCCCACACCATCCCCAGCGACCTATCCCCAGCAAGTTCAGCAGCAGGGTACAGCTCCCGATTCCTGCCAGTTTTGTGAAAATCAGAGAGAGGGGTGAGAGGAGAGACATGGTTGACTGACCGGCTGAGGAAAGAGCCGGATCTTTATTGGAGGCTGCTAGCAGACATGAGACGTTACAGGAAAAAGCTGTGATCACACCCACGAGGCACCTGGTGAAATGTCCCAAGCTTCCTTGACCCCAGCCCGGGGAGGCTGTTCACACAAGACAGCAGGGTCACCTTTAGCTGTTGTTTCCAGTTGTTTTCCTAGAAAGACCCGATCCTTGTGCACCTCAGTCCTGTAAGCCTGGGGTACGATAGCACCTCTCTGCAGTGAGCGTGGGCAGAAGCTGGTATGCAAAGGGCACTGGGAATGGCTGCCCTCCCTGCACGGTGTGTGCAAAGGTGGGCATGGAGCAGCTGCTGGACTGCAGAGACCCCTAAGGGGAGGCTGAAGGCACTGCAGACACAAACAGGCTCAGTGGGCACCTGGGCATGGCGGTGATGCTTCAGCTGCAGCAAACCCTCAGTCAGAAAGCCCAAACCTACCCACTGGCAGCACAAGGTGGAAAATCTCTGAAATGGTAAAGTGTTCCTCATGCAACCCGCTTAGCAGCTGAGCCTAGCCTGTGCTCCCAGCACCAGGGATTCAGGAGCCCAGGGACTTCCCAGACCAGAGCCCACAATCCAGTTTCTCACAGACCCCGCGGGGTTTTCCTACCATGCATCAGTCAGCTCATTTTTTGAGGCCGTGTAGCTGTCTGGCACCCAAGACATCCTACAGCAAGCAGGTCTGCTGCTTAATGGCACTTTTTCTGTTACCAAAGACAGGGAGTCACCTTTCCTGCACGTGATGGCCAGCTGCAACCAGGTATTGGTACTCAGCTGCACGAAGCACGGCCTGGCTCCTCTGGCAGAGCTCTGAGCCAGGCCAACAAGGCAATGCAGCCTCTCAGTACAACTAGAGTAGAGTGGCAGAGCAGCACTGTCTGCAATTACAACGGAGACAGCCCTGAATTAAATGGAGAGCTCAGACAAGTGGAGCAATCCCTTATCCAAGCACCGAACCCCATGGAGATGGGGAGATGGGTGCTTGGGCCACCATCCTGCCCCCAAGCAAGACCTATGCTGCTGGCGCTCAGGGTTTTTCTCCTTGCCATCCTTGATTTACAAGAGTGGTACTTTGGCAATCACACTGAGGATACTGATTAGCTGATGTTGGGACATCGTTCCAGGAAAGGCAATCCATTTATCAAAGTGCTTGCAGCTCCCAGTCCAAGGCAGGTGAAGTACTAATAAATATCGAGCAAGCGAGTGAATCAGACTCCAAAGCAGTGTAATAAATAAAAGGCTATTAAAAAAAATATCCACGGATGTCTGTGCCAACCTTTCTTCTCCAGCAGCAGCTCTGGGCACTGGTACTTCACATTCCCATTTCACAGGGACAACTCACTGGAAGGAATTCCTTGATTTTACATTGCAAAATCCAATCTGGGGAAATCTCCAACTGAGGTGAAATTGCAGATCATTGTTTTACTGGGCAAAAACCCACACAGAATCCCATCCAGGTCTGCATCACAGCTAAGCATGCCCACCTCCATCCTCCCAAGCTCACATCCCCAAGGCTAAAGGTCCGACACACACTGCGGGCTGCACAGACGTAGGCCAACTGAAAAGTAAGTACTGTCTGGCAAAGAAATTAGCTGCTAATTTATTGAAACACTCTGCAAAATAATTGCATTTGGAACCCTTCAAGCTGTCCTGGGTTTGTGCCTTCGTGCAGGAGTGTGACTTCAAGAGATGGGACATAAAAGAGAGCAGAAAACCAAAGAGATCTTTGAAGCTGGGGCAAAAGAGCACACGATCAAAAGGAGCAAAACTCCCAGCTCCCACCCCACACAGACGAAGCCTCGCAGCTCCCGTGGACAAGCAATTAAGAAACAAATCAGCCCTGTTTGTTTTCACGGAGGTGAGAAACACCTCCAAAAGTGGCAGCTATTTCTGTTCCTTCAGACAACTTGCTCGCATCAAGCAGTGCGGGGGGGATGGGACTTAGGGAGGGAAGAGCGACCACTCCATCCTCTCTCCTCCTGGTACCTGGGGTGGATTGCAGGCCACGGTGAGGTCCTGTCCCACATACTTCTTTTGTTTCAGGGCTGACCAGTTCTCACCGAGACACTCCCCGGTGGGTGCCTGCGCTCCTCCATCCAGTGTGGGAGTAGGGGCCTCATTTGGGGAGGGCTGTGGAGGTGCTGGAGTCAACTGCAACACAGATCTGGTGCCTGAAGTATACCAGTCAGACCTATTTTGCCAGGATCACTGTGGGATCAGCACAAACTACGGAGGAACAGGTTGCTTTCAGCTCTCCGCTGCAGCTGCAAAACAAGGAAGATGTAATTCCTACTGTGATTACCAAAAGCATTAGGGAACTGCAAGATAAAAAAGAAAATTCAAGCAAACATAAAACAACCCCCAAAGATCAAAAGTATTGAAGAGTTTTACCTGGATGCTTCTAAGGAAAAAAAAAACCAAAAACAAAAACAGAAAACCAAAAAAACCCCTCATAAGCAGATGACTACGGAAACATAAAAACCCACCTTCCTGAGCAAACAGAGACCCACACAGGCTCCCAACACTTAGAACTCAACATTATCTGCCAGGGTTTACCCAGAAAGATGAACCTGCGTTCTTCCCAACCCTCACTTTTAGGAGGACACTTGGCTGTTTCTTTGCCCCAGCTCCTTCAGTAAGAAGGGGAGCTTGGCTATGCGACCACCACCAAGTCATTTGCTTCTCACTGCTCCCTGCCCTCTGTGCTCTTTCTGTTCAGGGCCATGAGTTTCAACAGGTTTGAGTCCTGGAGCTCCAACAAGAGGAGAGCAGGGCTGGGACACAGCCCAGAGGCAACAAAAGTGTCCAACAGCATCACCTCCCTGCTCAGCATCCTCCAGTGCATGAGTCCTCTCCCAAGCTAAATCTCTCCGTCAGCATCTGCTCCTGCAAAAGCTGCAGCTGGGCTGTGCAGCATGGCCCCAGCTCCTTGGGGCTCTCTCCTTTGCTCCTCAGCTTGGCTGGCTGTCCAGGTGAGGAGCAGGCTCCAGAGCCAAGCCAGTGCGGCAGTGACCTCTAGTGACACTTAGGGGACACTTTTCAGTCCCCATATCTGGGGGGTGCCATAGACATGGCCACAGACTACCATGAAGCATGCTGTCCTTGCAGAGCAAGCCCCAGCTGAGTTGGTGGGGGCATCGCAGCTCCTGGGTGGCACTGCCAGGCCCTGGATGGGGAAGCGCGTCCCATCACAGAGCCCTGGCTTGTCCCCCAGCCTCCCTGCCACTGACCTGTCCCTCATGGTTATGCTGGAGCATTTCTCCTCCTGATGCCCGGGTTGCTCCTCCAATTAATCGCCTTTTGCTCCCATTTAACCAGAAGGCAGGCTTCCCTTTTGCTCACAAGAGTCAGCAATGGCTCTGGAAGGGATTTCCTCCTGGAAACTCTACTGAGCAGCCGTTGCCTCCTCAGTGCATCCTGATCTGTGCAGGCATCCTCCAGACAGGAGCAAAAGGGGACGCAGAGCTCAGGGACACTTAGCCTCTGGCAATTGCCACAGCCCTTGCTAAGCATCAGGGGACACAGAGTGCCTCAGGCCATAGGAAGCAAGCACAGGCAAGAGCTGCACTGGAGCAGGATTGGAGCATCTCAGTCAGGGCAGCCGTCTCAGCAGCAGGGAACAGCTACGGGGATGCACCAAAGAATGGGGACAGGATGCATATGGAGCAGGCTGTGAGCCCCAGGGAGCATCCACGCCACAGGGCTCTGCTGGGGTGCTCAGGGGCTGGTGCCTCAGTATGCCCAGGGAGCACAGCACGGGAGCATAAGCAAGCGCGCTCAGGCTTCCAAGTGGATGAACAGAGGCAACACAACGAAAAGTGAATTGGAGAGAGCAGCCTAAGCTGCAGAGGAGGAAAGGGCTGAGGAGGGAACGAGCGCAGTACCAGCCCTGTCAGCCCCAGCCCCTGCTCTGCCACTGGTTCCCAGGCACTTTCGCAGCACTTGCACTCACGCGAGGGCAGAGAAAGGACGGGGTCACTGCTACGCGAGTCCAGCAACACAAAGAGGGGTTCAGAGCTCTTCTTGCTAGAGCTGGCTGGCTTCCCTCCCCCCTCCAAGTGGGTCTTCTCTGTGCCTCTCTCTCCATCTTCCTCTTGGGCCATCTCCTGGATCGAGATTGTCGCACAAAGCCAGAGTAATTGCCCTGCCTTGGAGGGCTCTTCTGAAAATCAGCGCATTCAAGAAAATGCGTCTTTGAGGTCCTCTGGTGCCCAGCATTGGGGGCCATCCTGGTCCCAGGGACAGAGCTTGCATTCACGCTCTGCAAACAAAAGCGCATTCAGCAGAAATGAAGAGACAGTAAATTCAGAAGTGATGAAAAAAAAGCATCTTTTCACACAATTCGCCTTGGGGAACTCAATGTCATATGATGTAGCCAAGGGCAGGGACTTGTGGGATCAAACAACTGCTGAGCTGACCTGACAGCTGTATTTCTGTTACTCATACCAAAAAATAAGCTACATACAAATGAGGAAAGCCCACTGAGCAAACCACACTCAAGCACCAAAAATCATTCTAGTTGTTTTGCTCATAAAGCACCATGCTAGAGAAGACTTCCAAAGGAGAGACCACCTTTTCTGGGAACAGGTTCTGGGGACAGCCTGGATGCGGGCTGCAGGACTCCTTGCAGCTTTCCCTGAGGTGCCTGGTACCAGCTGACGCCACCCTGGCTGAGTCAGAAGAATCCTTTGCTAATGACAGCGGCAAGCAGCACTTGCACCAGAAGGATGCATATCAGGACTTGCTCCTTCCAGCCGCTCCTGGAAGATTTTCCTTGTACCCAGCTTGCTTCCCCAAATCCCCATTCCATTGTCGTGAAGATCTTGGCTCCTCATCTCTGCGCCTGCCCTGCAAGGAGCTGCAGCCAGCATTCAAACCAGGTTCTGGGCTCAGGTGTAAGGGCACCTGTGGCTCCAGCCCACGTCCCAGCCTCTCTGGATGGCACCATCAGGTGTGACTCAAGGTTGTGGCCTGGCTCAGTCCTTCCCTTTACTGCAAGTGAGGCAATAAACAGGTCTACAGCAGTCATGCGGTTGATTGTCAAAAGCAGCACTGGAAAAGGTGTGAAAACATGCAAGGATGTGAGTACACAGCAACGGTCAGGATAAAACGAGGGCTTGGAAAGACCAACCCTTCTTTTTCCCAGTCCCATTTTATATCAAGGGTTTGACCTTTTGCTTGAGGTGCAATGATTTCTGAGATCCTAAGGCATGCCCAGATTTTTTAATAAAAGTACAGTTGGTGAGAGGGACAGAGGTTTGCACTGGGAACTTGTAATAAAACACATGTTGTTTCCCTTTTAAATTCCAGAGGGAGAACACAGGTTTATATAGGTTTAGAGCAGAGGTTTGACCTAGAGCTGGTGCAGTAAAATGTTACCTGCAAAAAATCATATGCCAATAACAGCCCCCAAGTACCTTCGATTATTGAAGCTTTCCTAGTGGTACTTACAGTGTGTTAACACTCACCCCAGGTGCCAGCACCACAGACGCGGGGTACCCGAGAGCAGAGCCTGGAGAGGGCAGGGGCCGCTGCCAGAGCTTTCCTCGCTGGGCTGAGCCGTCCCACAGTGAGCGCTGCCCTGCGGTCCCGGGCCGAGGGGCAGGCAGAGGCTTTTTGAGCTGTATTACCTTGGCTCCCCGGCACTGCAGAGGAGCTGGGGAAGCAAGAGTGATGGGAGGTCATGTAAACCAGCTCTGAATCACTGCAGGTTTTGTTGTTGGTTTTTTTTTAAGCTGGTCAAATAAATGTTTTGAGAAGACATATTAAAGTCGTGGCTGCTTTCTCCAGGGAACTATCAGGATGATTTTATTTGGCCAGAGCACGGTAACAGGGTCAGGCTGTCAGCTTCTATTAAGATTTGGATGTGCGTCACTGAATAGAAAGTGCTTGACTATATTGCTTCTCATTAGATTGCTTTATGATAAATCTAATCATTAACTTACTACACTTGGCTGATCTGAAGGTTATAAGCCTGGCTCTGCAGCTGCCCCAGCAGGCTGCAAACCAAGCGCTTTCCCCAGGGACGGGCAGCTTCACCACGGCAGTGCTTGGTTCGCAATGGCAAATGCCTTGGCACAGCTGCCTCCGGCTCACAGCACTGACGTGGCCTCTCCAGCCAGCAAGGCATTGCCCTCCCTGTTCCCTCGTCCCAGTGGGATACATCCGCCTCATGCGGATCACCAGGGGGATGGTTTGGGGTAACTAAGGGGTACTCAGGTGCTTGGCAGCTCAGCCACATGATGCTGTTTCACACCTCCTTCTGCAGCCCTTCCCAAGCACAAGCCTTGTCTTGACTCCTGCACCACTGCAAGGGCATTGCTAAAACCAGAGGTGAAAGCTTCCCCCTTTTTTCTAAGGCAGGCTGAGCAGACAGCTCTTGCCCAGGTTTAAAACTAAGAGCTGGGTTTTAGGGAAGAGCAAAGCATTACGTCAGTCCCATTAGACAGACCTGGTTATTCAGCACTTCCAAGCACAGCCTGGTCATCTCATGTACCCACCAGCAAGGAGGCTGTGGTGCATCCCAAGTTCCTCTGTGCCTGGAGGAGCAGCACAGCACAATGCAGCCCTGGAAACACAATGGCAGAGCTGTTGGCCTGAATTCCCCCAACTTGTGGATTTGACTTCTCCCCTCCAGCTTCACAGGTCAAGCTCCTCCTACACCACATCCAGGCATTGAAACCCCACTGCAGCTGGTTCCCACAGGTGTAAATGGGGTTGCAGTGTAAATGGGGTTGCTAGGGACCCACACTGGGACTGACCCATTCCAGCACAGCAAGCACCTGGTGATGCATGAGACAACAGAGATGAGACCAGGGTGCCACAATCGGATCCGGGCTGGTGGCTTTCTTCCTGGGAATTTGGGCAGAAGGTCTGGGCACATCCAGATCAGGGACTCACATCCCCCCCTCTTCATTTAAAGTAACAGATCAGCTCTTAAAACCCCCCCAACCACCTTCCTGGATGGGCAGAGAGGTCCAGACCAGCCACAGACACAATTCCTCCCTCCCCTTTCCCCAGGGACATGGGAACATGCGGCAGACTTCTGATCAGAGACAAGGGTGACTCAGCTCCCCCAGGGACAGGCAAGGGACCAAGCCACGAGGCTGCTGAAGGGACCGTGCCAATGCCGCATGGCAAATGTGTGGGACCCACGCGGCAGCTCCCCAGCCCTCGGCTCCCATGGCAGGCTCAGAGGGGTACAATGCACCCCCAGATAACACTGCAGAGCTGAGAGGCTTGCTCCCCATGTCTTTTGAGCATATTTTTTCGGCCAAGGTGGGGGCCATCCATACCTCTGCAGTTCCTCTGGATACTGAGCTTAATCCGCCCAGGCCAGCCAGTTCCAAACATGTCTGCCTTGCATCGGCAATAAGGGCTTAGCATGAGCGTTTCCCATCTTCATTTGTTTTTATGATTTCATTAATTTATCAAAGACAATTAAGCCACCCCTGGTTGAGGCATCCCAGACAAGCTGCCAGAGTCCTCCCACTCTTCCAGAGCAGCTTCTCCAGGACAGGGACGGCTCCTCCACACAGGGCTCAGCACCGTCAGCCCAGGCAGACCCTCTGCCTGGAAATCCGGCTGCGGCCCAGCTGGGAGCCATCCGGTGTGTCACAGGAGTCTGTGCCGCGTTCCCCAGCCTGGGCTGCACAGGACACCAGGCCGTACCATCACCACAGTCCCTGGCTGGCTAAAGATAAAAGATGCAAATGCAAAGTAAAGACGAACAAGTACTAAATGTGTTCTGCAAGGGAGCTGCAGCAGGAGGAGTCCCGCCAGGAAATGCAGAGCTGTGGTTTGAGCCATTCGTTGGGCATCAGCGGCTCCTGCGCACGATCAGATCACTAGCTCTTTGCTGAATCCCCGTGCTAGCCAGCCGCCCTCTAACACGCACCACTGCAAGATAAGGCAGCTTAGCTGAATTTTCTCTCCCACCAAGCCGGGCGAAGTTTGGGGCCCTGAATTAAGTTGTGCACAGCTCCTTGGGAAGGCCTGGGGAGAGCAGCACACAGCCGGGGCCTGCCAGGCGATCACAGGGGTCCAGAGGCGACAGGCGGTGTAGGGCATGCACCCCTCCAGCTGCGGCAGACCGAGGAGCGAGCCCTTCCCGCCTGCAAGCCCAACATCTCAGGGGCACGTCGGGATATATCTGAGCAGAGAAGACACCCGGGGGGAGCAGAAGGCTCTCCTGGGATGCTACGATGGTTACCCATGCCTCCGGCTCTCCCTTTTAGGGGTTAATTACAGTCACAGCAAACAACCTCTGCCTTTGTTTACACTGGAGGCTGGGCACCGCAGCTGGCACACCCACCCTCAGTGGGAACTGGGCTGGTTTGGGCCCCGCTATCGCGCCTAAAACCACACACAGAGCTGCAGCCACAGACCG